TGAAACCGGGGGAAAGAGTTTAGCCACACACTGACAGACTCGATGATGCTTTAATGTCTTTTCCAGCGAGCAGAAAATGGAGATTTCAACTGGATAATTCCAGGGAAGTTTTTGGCTTTCAGCGGCCCTCATCCAAAAAGCAAAATTGAGAATGGTGCATATGGTTTGGCTTGTTCACACATTATACCAATGCTTTGACTTTAGTCTGAGATGAGAGCTGGAATTATGTACAGATTTATATATATTTCTGCTTTTTTTTTCCCCCTTCAGGATACCCTCTTCATGCCCCTGAAGCGTATTTCCCCTACTTCAGGAAGCATAACATCACCACCATCATCCGGCTCAACAAGAAAATGTATGAAGCCAAGCGTTTCACAGACATGGGTTTCAAGCACCACGACCTGTTCTTTGTAGACGGCAGTACGCCCATCGACGCCATTGTCACCAAGTTCCTGAACATCTGCGAGAATGCTGACGGAGGCATTGCTGTCCACTGCAAAGGTTCGGGTTTTTCAAGCCTAAAATAGTCACGTGACGACGTCATATCTTGAAAGATGTGCCTACGTTACTCAGGCCTGCACAGAATCTTTCCTGTGTTGTTGTTTACTGATTTTGCATGTAAACCTTGCATGTTTTCTCACCTACATATGTTAAAGTTTTACATTTGTGACCCTGGACCACAAAACCAGTCATAAGCGGCAGTTTTTTTAAATTGAGATTTATACATCAATAAATTAGCTTTCCATTGATGTATGGTTTGTTAGGATAGGACAATATTTGGCCGAGATACAACTATTTGAAAATCTGGAATCTGAGGGTGCAAAAAAATCTAAATATTGAGAAAATCATCTTTAAAGTTGTTCAAATTAAGTTCTTAGCAATGCATATTACTAATTAAAATAATCAATAATTTTTGATATTTATGGTAGGACATTTACACAATATCTTCACAGAACATGATCTTTACTTAATATTCTAATGATTTTTGGCTTAAAAGAAAATTTGATAATTTTAATTAATTTATTTTTTATTTATGCATTTAGCAGACGTTTTTATCCAAAGCGACTTACAGTGCATTTAGGCTATATATATTTTACCAGTATGTGTGTTCCCCGGGAATCGAACCCACGACCTTTGCGCTGCTAACGCAATGCTCTACCACTGAGCCACAGGAACATATTTTTGACCCATGCAATGTATTGTTGGCTATTGCTAAAAATATACCTAAGCTACTCATGACTGCTTTTGTGCTGCAGGGTCACATTTATTCATTTAGCATACACCTTTATCCAGAAGGGACTTAGAAATGATGAATACAACAAGCGATTCATCTACATGTGTTGTTGTAATCCGCATTTTATTGTACATGTGAACACCAATTATTCACAAATTTATGCACATCCCAATAAGATACCCGTATATTTAAACCAGGGCTGTCAAGCAATTTAAATTTGAATTCTAATTAATTACATGATTAAGCTTTAAATTAAACGCACATCAATTTTGGCTAAGAAATTACCCCCAAAAAATAATTTAAAGTCATTGTTGTGTTGGATGAGAAAAGCATTCAACAGACATTACAAAAGCGTCAGAAAGAAATATTTTGATTCTACATTGCATAAATAATATTAAATGGGTTTTAACTGAGTACTGAAATATGAAATTAATATTTAAAAAAAGGAAAAGCGTTGAATAATTCATTCAACTGATTTGTTCAAATGGCTGATTCATTCAGAAACGAAGCAAGTGACTCTTTGAATGAGTCACTGAATCATTGACTCACTTGATTCAGTAACAAATCACCGCTGTGTGTTGATTTGATTAGAGACGCTCAACAGTTCTGCTGTTGCTTTGATTGGAACCATTTTAGTTTGCAAAATTAAGCAAAAACAGATTATGTTGACTTGTCTAAAATTTAACAGTATTAACTTGTTTATTGAACTGTATAAAATCAATATCTCAGTTGCATTCGTGCAGATATTGGGGAAAAACAGCACTCTTGCTGGTGTGATATTGCTAAACTATATCATATGATATAAATATCAGAGGCTAATTTATCTTTCGCGCTTATATCTTGAATTTTAGGCTTATATAACTGCATTCTAATCACGCAATCAGTCGTTCTGCATCATCAGAAACTGCATCAGTGTAAGATGACAGACAGGTCTTGATGGGGCGCTGCGTTAAATGCGTTAATTATTACAACACGTTAAATTGACAGCCCTACTTTAAAGCCATTCTGCATAAATCCCCTTATAATTGTTGCATTCATTTTATTGCCTGATTCAGCAAATCCACCTCAGTTCATCAGTGGATATGGTTGAGGTTAATTTTTCCAGTGTCATGAAGTAGAGATGCTAACAGGCCAAACCACCGTGTGTTTCAGCCGGTCTGGGCCGAACCGGGACACTGATTGGCTGTTATATGATGAAACACTTCAGACTGACTGCAGCTGAAGCCATCGCATGGATCAGGATCTGCAGACCTGGTTCAATCATCGGACCTCAGCAGAACTTCATCGATGAGTGAGTCTTCCACACGCACTTTGATTCAAAGCAATGTATTTGTGTGCCAATCTGCATTAGGGATGGGCGATATGGGCTTAAAAATATATAACGATAATTCCTGGTATTTATTGCGATAACTTTATCAATGACGATAATTCAGGGAATCCTGCTTCTTTAGAGAAGAGTATTATCTTTCCTATTTTTACCCAAAATAGGGTGTCGTGAGCATTACTGAGTACACGCACGTGATGTAATGACTGTTTAATTCATAGTGGAAGCCGGAGGGCGCTCTTGCGCAGAAACTCCACACATGCATTGCAGAAGTAATAGCACTGACGCTCCAGGAAATCCCTAATATGGACAAAGGTATCAGTTATCGCTGAATAAAACGCACAATGGCGATAGAGAAATTTTAACTGATGAAACATGAAGACAATAAACATACGATTGCACAAAATATATGGTTTATCTGTGTTCAAGCAATCTTGGGTATTTTTTTATAAGGAAAGTATATTTATATAGCTTTTATCACTGTCTATAATACTATAATTCTGCAATATAAAACCACGTCTGGTCACAAAAAGAAGTTAATTCAAACACTCGACTATGTTAAGTTAATTTGGAGAAAAAGCATGTCAATAAATGATATCTTTGCTGTAAAAAAAACTGTATTGCACACATGCTACTGTACTACATTTATTCAGACCGATTTTTTGTGCACTGTACATCCCTGACCAAACCAGTTCCCGATCGTAAAAGGAGCTCAAGCTCCTCAATTTCACGCCCGCCTTCCGCGATGTCACACACAGAAATATGTCAACAACTAGACTTTATCGTTATTATCGCGGGAAGACTAATTCTTATCGCAAATCGTGGTATATCGCAAATGATAAGATATCGCCCATCCCTAATCTGCATGGGATTTTCTGATTTTTAGAACCCCTAATACTAATTAATACATGCCTTAATGTAACAGAAAGCAGGCGAGTCTGTGGGCAGAAGGTGATTTGTACCGGCAAAAAATAAATGAGCAGGAAAACGGCTCGAGTAAAACGGCAGTGGCTGGAATCCTGTCTGGAGTGGAAGATATTTCCATTAATGGTACAAACAAGAACACCTCACAGAGGAAAACGGCCTCTGAAATGGTGAGTAAATCTATTTATTCTGGCACATCCCAGTTTAGGTGTCTGTTTTGCCTAACAGCATAATGTTTAGTGCACTTTACTGAATTATATGGCCAAGAACTGCCCACTTAGATGCAAAACAGATGTTTTTGTTTTTACGATTGTTAACCAGGTTGTGTTTTTCATTGGTTAGCACACTGAGGAAGAGGAAGAGGAGTGCGGAGGACTCACACAAGGCGACAAACTGAGAGCTCTGAAGAGTAAGAGGCAGTCCAGAGCATCCACGGGTTCAATATCGTAAGTTTTTCTCCGTTACGTCACTCTTCTGTCCATCCTTATACATGTAGCCATCGAGACCTGACGGTACAAGTCCACTAGTGTGGAAGAAATCTGCTCCTGACCCTTAATTACAGTCTGTGATTGATTTCAATACACAGTTAATAAAGTCATGTTTTTAATCATGATTTCAGAATTATATTTATTTTTGCAATGATTTCAGAAAAATGCTTACTAGCCTTTATTTCACATTCCCAAGTTTAAATGTGACCCTGGACCAGTCATAAGGGTCAATTTTTCGAAATTGAGATTTATACATCATCTGAAAGCTGAATAAATAATCTTTCCATTGATGTATGGTTTGTTAGGATAGGACAATATTTGAAAATCTGGAATCTGAGGGTGCAAAAAAAATCTAAATATTGAGAAAATCATCTTTAAAGTTGTCCAAATGAAGTTCTTAGCAATGCATATTACTAATCAAAAATGAAGTTTTGATATATTTACGGTAGGAAATTTACAAAATATCTTCATGGAACATGATCTTTACTTAATATCCTAATGATTTTTGCATACAAGAAAAATTGATAATTTTGACCCATACAATGTATTGTTGGCTATTGCTACAAATATACCCCAGCGACTTAACACTGCTTTTGTGCTCCAGAGTCACATATAAGTGAATATAATTGCGTTGACACGTGTTGTAAAGGTCACGTGAGCTCGTTTAATGACTTTTATTTTGTCGTTTTGACACAGGGTTTGATTTATGATTTTATTGATATGTTGCAGTATTAATCAGTGCATCGGTGTCTGAGATGTAGTTGTCTAGTGATCTTTTCAGGTAGATGTTGTATTTCTGAGAGGAGCGCAGAAGGCTTGAATACGGTTCTGATCTCGGTGTGAGCTCGATGGTGGATCCGGTGTTTCCTCTCGCACCGATCCCCGTTCAGCTTTTGAAGGTTATTCTGCTCTGCACCACATCAACTCTGTCCTTCTCTTTCAGCTCGCTGCCCTAGACTTGAACTCCGCTGATGTTCAAGGAGTCCCTGGAAGTGAGTATCCGATTCTTACAGCAGTTCTGATCTGGTTTTATCTTCAGTTTTGCTCTGGATGAAGGAGAGTTGTGTGTGTGTGCCATGCTAACAAAGTCTGTCTTCACCAGGGCGCTACATTCCACCTCATTTAAGGAACAAAGAAGCTTCCAAAAATGGTACGTAACGTTACGCTTTTCTTCTTGACGTGTCTTTAGCCCTAAAGCTCCAGTGCTGTTGAAGATTGTGATCGTCTGACTTAAAGACAGTGCTGTTTGTGGCTCAGCATGTCTGTAGGACGTCTGTCAGTGGCTGTGTTTCATGCACACAACTGGAATATCGCACAGAACGTTTGTGAATAAAGCACCGTTTACATCCAACGAGTCAAAGAGAACAGAATCGTCACTTCCTGATAAACTGGCTCTAAATATCACACAGAAAACTAGGAGAAGCCACTGAGTATAATAATTTTAATATGTGATAAATGACTTGCGCCTCAGAGCGAGCAGACGAAACACAATAAATGCGGTCGATGCTTTCGGAGGAGGATGCTGCTGTTTGGGAACACAGTCGTTTAAGACAATTATACAGAAATACTTTAACGACAGGCTTTGCTCAGGCCTTTCAGGACAACATATAGATGCTGTGAACGAGATCGGTCCGCTGGTTAGTTGAGTTATCCCATCTTATAGCGCAAATCACATGACTTGTTCGATGCGCATGGTGGAATTTATTCAATAATTGTGTTTCCGTCGTAGTTTATGCACGTTTTTTTCTTATCGGATAAGAAGTTTATCCTACTCAATTGTGCACATACGTTTTTTTTTTTTTTTTAATGCACATTTTTAGAACTTATGTGCATCTTGGCATTTCATCTAGCATTTTTTAAATTTATTTTTTTATGCAATATTCCAAAATGCATGTAAAAATAGCTGGATGGAAACATAGCTAGTGTGCAGTCTGTGAATCTCTGCTTGCTTCTGTCTAGGTGCCAGTGCACTACTGCACTCTCTCATTCCTCTCTTTCGGACTGTTATTGGTACACATCTTGAGCCAAAACAGAGTGCTTTCCACTGACATTTTTGGATAATTTTATCCCCCCTCCATCGTTTGTCCAGTGACTCAAGTAATCAATATGCTGGCATGTAAAAAAAAAAAAAGTGCGTCTACAATTCAACCAGAGCTTGTCTGAACCGTATTGGCCGAGACTCTCGGCAGTATAGGTTTGAGATGCTCCGTGATCTTTAGTCTTATCCTTGTGACGAGGCTGTTTGGCCCAGCACCCTCCTGACTATACGTTTGTTCTTTTAGCAGGAGCTTATTCCTCTGGTAGACAGAGCGGTTACTCCGTGGCACCAGGAAGGAGCTGTACGTTTCTATTGACAGCCTTTGGCTAAAGAGAGACTTTGAGGGGAAATCCTCAAATATGCATGGTTCCACGATTAATTCTCAGCACACACTTGGAATCGTAACAGCTTATTTCAGCCACATTTCTTTCCAATGCAAGACGCAAATGTCGTCCACGGGCTTTGAAGAGCACTTTTGTTTAAAGACCCGACTCAGATGAGGGGGGAAATATTTAGAGTAGATGCTCCCATGTCTGCATTTACTTGAATTTTCAGCATTTTGCAAGCAATTTCAATGTAGTCGGTCAAGTCGAGGACTGGTGGCAGACTACTTAACTAGAGCCGAGAAGTACAAGTCCATGCCCTACTTGACTAACTGCTTTGCTTTTGACCATCCGCCCCCAGAATGCTCCGCTCCATGTAACGTTTCTAGCACACGTGTGTTTAATAACCCCGTCCTCTCGCTCTCACACAGATTCTCCCGGAGGATGGGATAACGGACGCAGCAATGGCTTCGTGAACGGCTGCCATGATGGCCGAGACAACCGCATGAATGGGGGCAACAGTTTCGGTGGCCGCGGCTCCATGCGCAACGACCGCGGAGGAAGAGGAGGCTTCAGAGGTAAAACCAGCGGCTCCTACAACCCCATCCAGCCAATGCAGAGCGCAGGCAGG